TCAAACTATGGATCTTATCTTCCCTGAACTGATCTTACATGCTCAGGATTTATCTCAGCACTGTACAGCATCCACTGTCCTCCTTTCCCCCTCTCCCCTTCTGGGGGGGAGCAAAATTAAAGAAGTTATTGGAAAATTAAGTTTACTACTCCAGATTGGGTTGACCCTAACTAATGAACCAAAGAGAGTGAATTGTGTTTATGTAGGAAGTCTAGGCATCTGTTGAAGCTAGGGCTCTGTTGTCATAGTAACTGGGTAGCTCAAGGTGACATGCTCTGGTCATTGAACCTGAGCCATATGCATACATTCTGAGTTTCAGCCCTACCCTGAGCAGTTTTCAAAGAAATTTGTGTTATGCACATTAGCTGCTTTCTTCCTGCATTCTGCTGGGGCTGTTTTTGGAAGTTTTGACCCTAGACCAAAGCTTCTGGTTTTAGAGCCAACGTTTTTAAGTTGTGAAGGAAATTAGCATTAATTAAATAGAGGGAAGATGAAAGGCTAATAAGCACTTAGGATATGTAATTTTGGTCTTTGGCTGTTTCCTGAACAATAGGAGTGATTGTGAACAAAGAAAAGCTAGTTGGATTATTTTTCAAGGGGTTAGGGATGTGCATCAGTTAACATGAATTGCTCATAACATTTTCAGATTTTTATATCGCGTGTGTGTGCGCGCAAATCTAAGGAATATGGGGTATTGGAGCAGTGCAGGGAGTGGGGGTGGGGGGGGGAGTTGGTAGAGCTCTTGCCCGTTGCCATGCTTCATCCTTTAGGGTTTCACTGTGGCACAACTGCTGAGGGTCCAGCACAACCCTAAACTACTCTAACTGGCTTAAACCACCTACATCCATACCCTGCATTTCTGTCCCCACTTTAAAACATGCCCCACTGACTCTTAGTCCCTACACTGTTTCTGCATCCTCTGTCCAGTTCCTCAATCAGTAGGGCCTCCACTGATGCCTACCCCTCCATGGGGAGGAGGATTGGGGCGGGAGGACTGGGCTGTGCTGTGCTGTACCAGCAGAGAGATGAGGGATGAACAGATGATACAGGGACTCATTGAAAGGACTAACATCCATCCAGTGCCTTCTGTGACCAGTTTAATCATTGCCCAGGAGTGAGAGTCAGTGAATGGAAATAGCTGATCTGTGGAACATGGAAGTGCTGAGTTTTTTGATGTTTTGTTTAAAAAAAAAACATGCATTATTAACTGCCCCAAACCTTTTTTTATGGAGAGTTAATGTGAATCTGACTCATGCTTTTCTGGACCCGTTCTGCCAGCCTACATCAGACGCTTGGTTTCATTTTCAAACAAATGCCTCTGTTCTTTCTCCCATGCTATTCCTCACGCTTGGGAAGTACTCCCCATAAATATCTGCACAACTAATTCATTATTCTCCTTCCAAAACGTTTTCAGAACTCTCCTTTGCCACGATGCCTACAAAAAACACATGACATTGGTTAGGGTGCCAGTGTGCTGGGACCACCGTCTGTCATGTTAACCAAATATTGTCTCGTGTCCTTTTACTCATCTGCCTATATGTTGTCTCTTGTCTCATACTTAGTCCCTTACATAAAAAGCTTACATTCTATCTTTTTGTTCTGTATTTGTACAGTGCCTAGCAGAATGAGCTCCTGGTCCATGACTAGGGCTTCTAGGTGCTATGTTAATACAAATAATAAATACAAATAATAGAATGTTGAGTTCAGCTGTGTTCAAACCTCTGAAAACCAGGAAATACAGAGTTAAGATACATATACCACTAAACTAGGTGTAAATCAGGTGGATCAATAGTGAGTGATGAAAGACTATGACAGCAAGGATTTCTGGCTGGATTCCTCAATGTCACAAGCTCATGCATTTATCTGTGAATGCACTCTGCTGGGGGATGTTGAGTTTTACTGAATCAGTGGTGCAGGTGGTTTATCTGAACCACCTACATCTGATAAACTATAAGAACCTTAGGAGCAGCCACACCTTGAAAGAAGGCATGAGTTGAGCTTTTTACCTTGTGTTTAAATTTCTGTTTAATAAAACCAAATGCTATAAAGTGTGTGCGTGTGTGGACTGTGTTTAGAGCAGGCTGGGAAAGATGCACACATTTAGTAATACAAAAGTAGAAAAACTTTAACAATTGTTTTTTTACGTATTCATGATGTATCTCCCATTAGTTTTCAGTGTCAACAAAGTTCAATTCTTTGTAGGAATATTTATGATAATTGCAATGTACAGTGCTCTGAAATCCACCCTAAACGCATTGCCAAACTCATCCATTTCATCCTCTGCCACAACAACTCCACATTTAATAACAAATGCTTTGTCCCAACTATGGGAACAACCATGGGTGTTAGGATGGCTCCCCAATGTGTCAATCTCTTCAGGGGCCACCTTGAGGAAGAATTTCTGGAAAAATGCACCACAGAATCAATGATATACTTGAGATACATAGACGATATTTTCATCTTTTGGACAGATGACCTAAGCTCCCTTACAGATTTCCACCACAAATTTTAAACAACTACAACCCCTTTCTCAGACTCTCTAGAATATACCCATAGCAGCATCAATTCCGTGGACAATCCATTTAAAAAATGGTGTGCCACTGCACCCCATATTCTTCATAGTGATGATATGGTTATAGCATAATTACGATGAAATTTTATGAAGATAAGTCATGTGAGGTGTCATTGGAAAAGTTATGATTAGTTTAATATGATTATCCTATCTATGCATGTATCATTTTTGTATCTGAATATATGAATATTGACTGTGTATATGTATTTCAAATGTAGTTACACCTGGGTAACACCCGCTAGACAGATGCTTTCAGTCTAGGTAAGTGGTTGTGAAGGGCCTATTCAGGGCAGTGAGCCATTAGGGAGAACAATAGGCCATAGGAGAAGCTTATCTACCACCTGGTGAGCCTTCCTGAGAACACTACAGACAGCCCGTGAGTGATGGCTACTATGACTCTACAAGGACATGTGACCAGGCCACATGATGCTGGACTCCATCTTGGGATGTCAATATTTTTTCACAGACTGGTCTGGGAACCAAGCTTTGGAACAAAGGGTTCCTGCCATATGCAAAAGCTATATAAGGCAGGGAGTGACATCATCTGTGGTTCTTCACTCCCCACATAAGAAGGCTCCTGGAAACACCTGAGATCTGAAGGAGAGCCCTTTGAAGCTCAAAAGCTTGTCCCTTCCACCAACAGAATAAATTGGTCCAATAAACAATGTTACCTCACCAACCTTTTCTTTTTCTCCCTCTTTCTTTCTTATTCTGAGACCAATGTTGCTACACTGCAAAAAAAGCATATTAGTGACATTTGTAGATTTCACATTTTGCAGGATATAATGTGATATTCATGACAGAGTATATAGCAAAATGTTTGGGACTGAGCTATTATGTGATATTTATGTGATTTTTCCCGTCTAAAGCAAGTAGACATGAATTCATTTTGTTACCTATTTAATATTGTGACTAGGTATGTGGGAGCTTATGATTTGAACTCATGGTACAAGGAAATAATTTTCCATTTGTAGCTGAATTCGCCCATATGAGCTTTTTCTTGATACCTTAAATTTTGTTTTTCCTTTCATAGGAATTCACTTATTTTGTCATGGCTGTACTAATGTGAGAGTGCATATACTGAGAATTTTATTAGTTAATGTAATTTAATAAATGTTTTTGTTCAATCAAAAGGTTTCTCTGTCCTTTTGTATTCCTTTATTATTCTCATCTTAAATATGATTTTTACAATTTGTATGTCATATAACCTTTACATATTTTATAGATATATCAAGAGTATGTTAATACTAAATTTAAAAAAAAAACTTTTTTTTTTGGCGTCCTCTTTTGGATCAGATGCACAATTGAGATTTAGGCTAATGATAACCAAAAATCTCATTGTAGTCTTCTCAAGACTAAGATGGCTAATCCTGATGTCCAGAACAAATTTCAGTTCAGATAACTACGGTACATTTTTCTACTGTATAATGTTGCTGTGAACCGCTAAGCAGCAGGTGCGTTTTACCTTATGGATGACTATAAACCAGTGATTCCTAAATAGTTTGTAAAGCACTTTGGGATCCTTCTGGATGAAGGTCTAGTGCCCATGAATATCATTTATTTTTTCTTTTTGGGGAGAAAGTTCAGAACTACTTGTAACTTTTTCAATATTGATTCACTGAAAAAATATCTTGGCAACAGCAGCAAAATCTTTCCCTTTTCTTCAGGCCCAGGTATTCATAACAATTTTAAAGAGGCCTTATTTATTGGTTTCATACCTAAGATGTTCATTTACTTGAGCTTGAAGAAAAAAATCACCATCTCTGTAGCTGACCCTTAGTTTGCAACTTTTAGAATGAAGGAGCTGACTGCATGCAGAATCAGAGGCTACAGAGAATTCCTATGCAAACCTCTTTCTGCTGAAACACTGAGATATAATTCCACCTGCTTTAATGTGGTACAGTAATTACATTTTAAGCAAGCAGATACAAACAGATTATCCTGCACATTTCTTTTTTAGACTTAGATTCTATATAAAATGCTTAAAGTATATGCTAAATCTTTACAGAAGAGCATTACATTAGGGTACTAGTACGTTAATCACTTCACCTTATGTTGTTATAATTGTAGGATGATAGGTGGTGCAGTAGATCGATGCTCTGTTCTTTTAACTCTGGAGGCCCAAGTATTATTCTAGTTCAGGTCACATCCTGCTCCTTAGTAGAAATTATGCAATCCTCACCATTTGGCTGTGGACCGAGGAATGTTTTCAGACAGAAGTTAGGTGCAATAAATGGCAAAATTACATGGAGAAGTTTGTGCGGGACCTCCTTACGGTATACTTGGCTCTAGTTAGTGCTAATGATTTCTTATCTTTTTGTGGTTCAAACTTCAATTATTTATTTTTTTAAAAATAAAGTAGTTGGTGGTTAAGATATTGCATGATACATTTTGTAGTTGGATTCTAATTCTAATGTAATTTTTTAAGGTGATGATACATGTGAATATCTTCTCTCCAGTGGGAGATTTCTTGGGGAAAAAGTATGGCAGCCCCACAGTTGTATGATGCATAAATATAAAAATAGGTAAGGATATCCCCTTACATTCTTTTATTTTTATTCTGTTCTCTACAGGGGAAGGTAGTAAGAAATCGGTTTACTGGACTGCAGTCTTTTCAGTCCCTATAGCCTTTTCTCTTTTGACAGTCTTCATGCTTGCATCTGATTGTTTTTAAATGGGTTACAGTGAAATACATAATTTATCAGAGATCAGAAAACGGCCCTTAGTATAAGTCCTTTGTGGCAGATATTCTTTTCATTATATGTCTAGAGTGCTAAGCATAATAGGATTGTGCTACTAAATATAAATAGATAAAGAGTGGTAGTAATAATTTATACTGCACATTTTGTTTATTATGAAGAATTTAAAGATCGTTCAAGATGTATCACATGTTTCAAATTGTGATGTAAAGGGAAAATACGATTCTTAGTTATAATATCCCAAATAGTTAATGTATATTCCTTTTTTAGAATTTTTTAATAAGAAAATCTACTATCACTTTTCTCTTCATTCACTTAATATAGAAACCATGACAGATACCTTTATCACTCTAAATTATTCTGTTACTTAATAAAGTTATACAACTTCTCAGTCTTTTTGATTTTTTTCAGCACAACCCAATGAGAAAGAGAGTCCTTTCATGCCTACAGTAATTTGTGTAATCAAATAATCAGGGTGGCTCCTTATTTCATACTTATCCCTTGTTTTATGTAATGCATTCAGTATTTAAAAAAAAAAACAATTTACCCTTCTTTAGAGTTAGATGTATAACATTCAAGATTTCCTTTAAGGAATTGTCAATATCCTTCATTAAATTGATTCCTTAAATAATGTAATATGTTAATTTTGTAATGCTGTTTCTTTTTGCAGTGAAGCAAAAAACTGCCTTCTAGACAAACATATTGCATTTATAGGAGATTCCAGAATTCGCCAGTTGTTTTATTCTTTTGTAAAACTCATAAATCCTCAAGTCAAGGAAGAAGGAAACAAGGTAAGACTGTCTTTTTTCCCACCAATTTGTCACTTAACTGTTAAAACTTTACTTAATTTCCAGCTTGAAAACACCAGAAACAGGGTTTTTTCTAAGGACTTTGATGTCTGGAATGAGCATTTGTTGGGAAATAATACTACTTGCTATCCTAAAATTCAGGAAAGGGAACCATGTAGCATAGTTCTGCAGAGAAACAAATCAAGCACTTGATAGGGAGATTGGGCCCAAGCAATTGTCAGAATGTTTGGCATCCTGAGAAGTGAAGTGGGAAGTTTGCAGAGGGAGGGTTCAGCAAATGATAGTTTTCTTTCCTAGGCTGTTCAACTAAGGTGGCTTGTCCAATGGCAACTAAGTGAGATTTGTTTTTCTGATGAGAAAATATGGCTGTCACAGTGTGTGATGACTTGGAAATCTGTACAATTTATAAATTCTCTGTGAGATTATGAACTCTCTATGTATCTTTACCAAGCTACAAACTCTGTTTTGATTGTGGGGACAAGGTGCCTTCTCAGTGATCTCTTTACCTCCATATTGGACTGAAATGCCAAGGCATAGTGATGCAGGATTGACAATAGACAGTTGTTAAATTGGTATGGTCCTCTATTCAAGTACAAACATCCTAGACAGTAAGATAATGTCTACCCCAAGAATTGGCTAGATGGGGAGGGGTCACTTGGTAACAGAGTCATCTAGTATTGGGCTCTGATCACCTGAGGAGGTTGATCAGGAGGTCACCTGACAGGGATTGGAAGGTTACAAAAGCTGCTCTGTTGGGAGTTCTTTGGTAATTTTTCACCAGTTTAAGATGCGGGAGACCGCTGCAAGAACTGGATGAGGTTGAGGCAGGTTCCTCCTGTCCATCTACCTATCTGAACATAGATGGTCCTCCAAGGAAAGAGTGAGCTACAGTGAGGGGCATTGTGTTCAGGATGTGTGTTGTTTTCTATATGATCTATACCAGGGGTCGGCAACATTTGGCACGCGGCTCGCCAGGGTAAGCACTCTGGTGGGCCGGGCCAATTTATTTACCTGCTGACACGCCAGGGTTCGGCCGATCGCGGCCCCCACTGGCCACGGTTCGCCATCCCGGGCCAATGGGAGCGGCAGGAAACCGCGGCCAGCACATCCCTCACCCGCGCCGCTTCTCGCCACCCCCATTGGCCCGGGACTGCGAACCGCGGCGAGTGGGGGCCACAATCGGCCGAACCTGCCGCGTCAGCAGGTAAATAAAGTGGCCCGGCCCACTAGGGTGCTTACCCTTGCGAGCCGCATGCCAAACGTTGCCGACCCCTGGTATAGATCATATAGAAAACAACACACATCCTGAACACAATGCCCCTCACTGTAGCTCACTCTTTCCTTGGAGAACCATCTATGTTCAGATAGGTAGATGGACAGGAGGAACCTGCCTCAACCTCATCCAGTTCTTGCAGCG